GTTGGGGGACAGAGCACTTATCTACCGGTGCAGTGGCCCTAAGGTCTGTGAAGACCTCTGCCGTGGGGCTAGGACCGTTCCATAAAGATGCCCCTGGATGAAGGTCTTGTGTTGCATTCTTCTGGCGATGGGGATCTCATTAGCTGAAAATGGGAAGCCTGCTCCCACTGCAGCTGTAGCCCTGCTAGTGTCCTTTAGACAACATCTGGCCCTTCTGCCCCAGAGCCTGCCCTTGTGCATATGGTTCAGGGGCTTGTTCGTAACCATCTGCCTCGGCATAGGAATGTGTCCTTATGCTGTCTTCGCCTTCCGGCATCTCTTGTGGTATGTGGGAGAGAAGGACCTGGACCATCTCTGGGCCTTTCTGCCTCATTTCCTGGCATTTGTCCCAATTAAGGAACAGGTTCAGCGCCTGCTGATTTCCTCTCTCCCTCCCCCTCACCTATTGAAAGCCAGCTTCGACAAAACTCGTACCTTCCAGGGTAGGAGCATGAAGATTAGAATTATTAAGCAAACAGAACAGAGATATAGGAGAAATAAGAGACAGAAACACAGAACAGCATCGGGAGCGACGCTCAGTGAATACTGAATTCTCCTCATTTAGCCTTCCCCACGCCTATCTACTTCACTCCAAAAAGGGAGGGGAGATGCGGCAGATTTCATTAACATGATATAAAGAATAGACTTGAATTCTCCAACTCTTGGTCCAAGTGGAGAGGATCCTCCTTTACCTCCAAATTAACCACACCCTAGGTCAGCATCTCTCATGTGTAGCCACACCTGTTGTCAACAACCTTGAGAGAGCAAAAATAAGCTCCAACTCTCAGACCTCCAGTCAAGGTAGGACAGGCTCACATCAGTGTGTGCCCTGACCCTCACTGGAGGGCTTTCTTAGGGCTGAAAGAGGGGATTTGCCCCTCCACCAGCATCGGGGCAGGTGGTGAACCCAGTGTCATCCTAAGTCTACAGGCAGAGGGCTGGGTGGGCATTGTCGGGTGCCATGGTGTTCCAGGGCTGAGGCAGAGTGGCGGGGACCTTGTCCCTTGGGCCCCAACCTGGAGCTTCTCTGCCAATGAGTGTTATTACCCTCTCGTAAAGGGAGACTAAGTATAAGTGTGGCTGTGCCAGAGCCCAGCACCAGCTTGAAGGTCTAAGTACTACCCGAGTCCCCTGTCATTGCGTTCGTGTGTGATCTGCAAGGATGGTAGATCCTGGATGGTATCTGAGGAAGGCAGGTTCGGGTTATTACAAAGCCATCCCATACTTTAAAGATAGACTGTGGAGTTGTGGGTTATCTGACTTGAAAGGGGTCTCTAGAAATCACCTCATCCAATCTCCTTATGCTATGGGGAGCTATCACCTGTCCCTTGAAGGGGATGTGACTGGTAAAAGCCACACAACAACCAGTCAGGAATCCTAATCCTAAACAGGGCATGTTTAGCCACTAGCGTGCAGCCCAGCGATTTGAGTGCTTCCCTAGCTGCATGAAGCCCAGTGCCATCCCAGAATAGACTGAGCATGGTGACTCACGGCCGTAATTCCTCCACTTGAAGGTGGAGGAAAGAGGATTGGGAGTTCAAGACCACCCTCTGCTACAGATCAAGATCTAGGACAGCCTGGGGTATGTGAGACTCCGTCTCCAATTTAAAGTGGGCAGGAGTAAAAACATGTCATAAATGAAACAGTCTTATTGCTTTGTAAAAGCGGCGAGATATAAACATAAAAGGTTAAAACTCTGCCCTGGCAGGGCTGCAAGGATTAGCCTGGGGTGTGTCGTTTTGTAGGATAATCCAGCACCCATCGAAAACAGAAGTCTACTCAGTGGATCTGCCTGCCCTTTGCTCCCAGGCCTCTCCTTCGGGGACTTTACCCTAAGGCGGTCACTAGAGAGACTTGTGTGTATTACTACAAGTTTCCTGACCCTGAAGAAGCCTGTCGAGGCTTCTGAAACATTTTATTTGAAGAAAAGTGGTGTCAAAGGGACAGCAGTGAAGTTCCCACCACTGCCCCAGTGATCAGGCGGGAAGATCCTGAAGCAAGGTGACAGATCCAGACTCCCGCCCCACTGTGTGACCTCAGGGCAGCCCTGCTCCTCAGCACCTCACTTTCTCCCTTATGAAGTGGGTGTGGCTTTGGCCGTGACTATACCTCACTTTCTCCCGTGTGAAGTGGGTGTGGCCTTGGTGGTGGCTGCATCTGTGCAGCTCAGCTAATGGAGCCTTTTACTGGAGGAACTGAGCGCTCTGGACGTCCAGAGATTGTGACACCCTCCCTCCCCCAGAGATAAGTGTCCTCCCTCGGGGAGGGTTGCCAGCTCCCCTCAAGGAGTTCTGCTTGAAGCCTTTGCTCTTTTGAAATAGCTCTGATTCAGGCCTTGGGGAACTTTTCCTCTTCTCTGCCAGACACAGGAAGACCCCAGATGTTACTGCTTTCATTATGAGGCAGGGGCTTCACTTTTAGGACTGGAGGAAAGAGCTTGGCAGCCACGCTGCATCGGCGGGACCAGAAACCCTCACTCTTTCTCTGGATGCCTCCTGGGGACCTGCAAGGGGCTTACACGTTAGTTTAAACCATTCCAGAAAGGCTTATGTCCAACTTTTTTTTTTTACTTACAAAAAAAAGTGTGGTTCAACCTAAGTAGAAAAGGATATAATTAAAGATGTAATTATGGTTCCTTACAATAAGTGAGCCATGGGGTGTGGTAGGGGACTGGGAAGGTGTGATTTGAGACTCCAGTAAGGAGGCCTTGAGTCAGACAATACAGTGCTGGCTGCCGCAGGGCTGCAGTGCTCTCTGTTGTACACTCCAGGCCTCTGTCCCCAGTGTTTACCAAACACCTCCACTGTAAACAAAACACTCAAAGAAGATGCCCTGAAGGAGTTTGCAGTCTGTCTGAAAGGGACAGAAGGCAGAAGGTGACAGAGGCAGAAGGTGACAAAGGAAAGAAAACAAAGGAATCAGGAAGGAATTTGACCACAGAAAGGGGGACTGCCATTTTAGGCAGGGGTCTGCAGGGCTCGCTAAGAGGGTGACTTGGGCAAATGGGGTTGAGCTGTGGGGGAGTAGCCAGTAAAAAGGTCCTGAGGTAGGTGGGTACTGGGAAGACCAGGAAAGCAGGTAAAAAGAGTGAGACAGGAGAAGGGCAGAGGCCATGGTCCTGATTATCTAACCCCCCCCTTCCGTGTGCAGTGTGGAATCCTACAAGTTAGTGAGGGAGGTACTATTTTTATACCTTTTTCAGTTAAAACAAACAAACAAAGAAACAAACAAGAGGTACAGAGAGGTTTGGAAACTTCCAGCTCTGTCTGAGAGAAAAGCTAAGACTTCTGACCCAAGGCAATGGGAGCCACGCAGGCTTTTGACCTGGTGGGATTCCCCAAGATTGCTGTGATCTGCCAAGTTCATTGGTTGAAACCAGCACCCCCAAGGTAATGGCATGGGAGGAGGTGATTGGGTCAGGGTGATAGAACACTTCTGATAAGGGTTCCTGTTCCTGCAAAAGAGGTCCCCTGAGACACACCAGCCAGCAGGCACCCTTCCCTGACCCCGGAAGCTGGCCCTCCCGCACACTCCCAGTCTGCAGCCTTATCTTGGCCTCCTGGCTCCAGTAACAATGGGAACTGCAGTGTGTGATTCACAGGCCACCCATTCGTGGCACCTTGTTACCAGGTCTCAGAGGTGGCTGTCACAGAGTTCAGGCCTAGGGTGGGTGGGAGGGTGGGCGTGAGCTCCGTGTGTTTGCAGAACAGTAGAGGGCCAGGCTGGCCCGGCTTCCTGACCACTCTAGACAGGTGAAGGAATTACACTCCCTAGCTCACTCCAGCCTTCAGAAGCCATAGGTGAGGGTCTGGGCAAGCGGAGGGTAGATACTAGTACCTGCTTTTATCTTTCCTGTGCTTCCTTTGGTTTGGTTTGGTTTTGATTCTTTTTGGAGACAGTATGTTGCTCTGAATTCCAGGCCAGTCCCTGGGCTCACAGCAGTCCCCCTGCCTCAGCCTCCCCAGTGCTGGTATTGCAAGTGGGAACCACCATGCCTGGATTCTCATTTTTAAATGGGTCTGTTATGTTATAGGTAGACTGTATCTCAATAAAGTTAACTTACAAAGAACATTCTCTTGGTTTTTCTGCTATGACTATTTGATGATGGTGGATAAAACATTAGAAAAGAGGAAAAGTAGAAAATTAATGTCCCGTGTCCTCTTGTCCTCAGTGTGATCACTCGGAGCGGGGAGGTTCCTTCCTTTCGGACACTGCCACCCCCATTCTGCGGATGAAAGACTAAGGCTCCCGTGTTGCCCAGGGGCTCACTTTTGGACTGTGCCATCTGCCTGCAGAGTTCAGACCTGACACTGTTCTCTGTGTCTGGAGGAAAAACCCAGGGTGCCCAAATTGGCGCATTTCATCGAGTCACCCCCATCACCCACCCACCCAGCCCACTCACTCCTAGCCATGTCCCAAGTGCAGCAAGTAGGACCTTGTCCAAGGGTTCCGGAGCTGGGGTCTCATTCCAAAGAGAAATCAGGCATAGGAGAACCTGTGTGGGATTCTCACGACAGCTGCTTCTTTCTAGCCTGGCCCGGAGCCCAGAGAACTTGTACAGAGTTGGCAAGTGTCATGACCCTGTCCCCCAAGGAGTCCTAGAGACTTCAGGGGGGCCTGAGCCAGAGTCTCATCCTTCAGCCCTTGTTGGGAGGTGGCAGGGAAAGGGGAAAGGGAGGAACTTTGCCACAGTCACGCTGCCCCTCCCCCTGAGGACTTTTCTCCTGCAACCTGACTGCATTTCTCTCCAGCACTGGGCCAACACACCCTGGCAGCCAGCCACTGCCTGGGATGCAGTCATCCAGTTCCATCCAGTTCAGTCGTTAACTGATCTCAGGCCAGGGTCTTTACGTGCTCATCTACAATGTATGTATTATGATGGCACCAACCACTGGCTTCAGGGACATGTGTGGCAAGAGTGGATACTCAATTTATGGGCCAGTCCTACAGCTGCCCCAGGGGGGTGGCTAAGCTGGTAGACTGAGCTCCCTCAATCTCCTGCCAAGCTCCCCTCCCCATTCTGTGTCAAAGAAGACAAGTGTGAACTTCAGGGAGAGACCCAGAGTCCAAGGTTGTAGATAAAGGGCTTGGTGGGATGGAAGGAACACTTACTCTAGGAAAGGGGCCTGGTCTTGCCGCTGTGGTGTGCCTCTGTTATACTGCAGTACCCCCGCGGGAAAATGAAGTTTTCCCCCCATGTTTCTGAGTTTAGAGGGAGGGATAAACCAGAATCAGCACCACCCGCAGTAGCTCATAGCCCCAGCGGGGAGCCATGGCTACCTACCATCCATAGCTGGGAACCAGGAATCTCCTAGCTAGGACTTCCAATCCAGCCTGGGTGGGGTGGGAGCCCAGGAAGACAGCCTGGAGAAGGTGTGGAGTCAGCCACCTCTAAAGGTCAGACATGGGGTACCTCGCCCATCTCTCTAACCTTTGTTTCTCCCTTTATAAAAATAGGAATGGTTGGGCTGGAATGTAGCTTAATTGGCAGAGTGCTTATCTAGAGTATAGGAACTCTGGGTTCAATTTCCAGTATCCCATAAACTGGGTGTGGTAGCCATGTCCTAATCCCAACACTTGGGAGATGGAGGCAGGAGGATCTTTAAGTTCAGAACTATACGGCAAGTCTGAGGTCCATTTGGGATGCCTGAGAGTATTGTAAAAACTGGGAGCTTGCAGATAAGTGCATGTTGCGCCGAGTGTACCAGCCTGTTTAGAGCCACAGGCCTTGAAGGATATGGAGGTGTTCTGTGACCTGCACGGCACCAGGCACCCCTCCCATTGTGCTTGATCCTGAGCTCTGGAGTATCCGGGCAGGGAGCACTTCTGGTGTGTTGTGCAAGTTCTGTGACCAAACTGGACATACAGATGTCCACCACTGCTCTCAGCCTGCTTGACTGAAGAGTTCCAGAGCATGTGTGCTACAGTTCACTTGCAGGTGGTGGCCGCTGCCACTCAGTCACCAATCACAGCCCCCTGGGGAGGAGAACTGTCTGTGCCAATAAGACCCGTGAGGCTCACAGTGTTGCCCCCACTGGTGAAGGCCCCTGGAACCTGCCTGAGGGGCTGGAGGGAGCTGCCAGGCGGTGGGGTGGGGTGTCATGACATCATAATGAGGACCAGCCTACCAGAGACAGGCCCAAGGTGGCATGCTATTGGAAAGAGAACAGTCTAGGGGCAGAAGGAGCGTGTTTGAGTTCAGATATGAAAAAAGAATATGTGTGCAGACATAAATGTAGAAAAACATTCAAGCCAGGCTTGGGGGTGTAAAGCATAATCCTAGACATCTGGGAGGCTGAGACGGGGGTCGCGAGTTGAAAGCTAGACATTAAGATTCTGTCTCCTGCAGCAACAAAGAGGGCTGCCAGTGTATCTCAGTGGTAGAGCGCTTACCTCACACATAAGAGGCCCTAGGTTTGAGCCTCAGTACCAAGGAGGGTGGAGGGCGGGAAGACTATTCAGACATCTGTCTGAGGATCTTCAGTGGTAAGGGGGTGTTTTCTGTGGTTTGAATTTTCTAGACATGCATCTATCTGCCTGCTATAATTGTTGAGCTGTCTGTATCTGTACCGTGGGTACAGCGAGCAATAAGACCCAGTTGGCACCAGCAGGCCAGAAGGTGAAGTACTCTTCAGGTCAGAGCGACGGAGCACATCGTGAGGCCTTGATGCTGTTTCCGGGGACAGCTGTGTGGAAACACCCGGAGGAGAGCTCTCACATCTCTGGGACTGCAGACACAACTGCAGTCAGGAGCGAAAGACCAGGCCCAGGAGGCAGGGGTCCTGCTATAAGTGGGGCCCTCCTCTGAGTGAGGCTGAGATAGCCGGCACAGATCTGGGGACACCAGGGTGGGCAGGGGCCCAAGCCTTGGGGTCCTTGATGCATCAGAAGCCAGGATAAAGAAAGGGGCTCCGTTCCCTGAGCAGCATGGAACCTTGGTCTTTGTCCCTTGAAACACACAGGCCTTCAGCCACTTTGCCCAGCAGAACGAAGCTAAGCTACCATATTGATTTGATGTGGTGTTTGAGACAGGGTCTTGCTATAGAGCCCTAGCAGATGATATGCTACTTTTTATATAGCTCATGCTGGCCTGGAGCTCCTGACAAGTGTTTTGCCTCAGCTTCTGGAGTGCTGGTGTATGCTGCCATGCCTGGCTCCCATCTAGGTGTGTGTGTGTGTGTGTGTGTGTGTGATATGAGTGTTGCGTCTACACACGAATGTCTGTGCATGACTTTCATACCTGGTGCCCGCAGAGTCTAGAAGACGGTGTTGTTGGAATTACAGACTGCTGTGAGCCACCATGTGGGTGCTGGGGATTAAACCCGGGTCCTGGAAAAGCACCCAGTGCCCTTAACCACTGAGCCATCTCTTCAGCCCCACATTTAGACTCCTAGATCTCTCCTCTCTAACCCACATAGCAGCCTCACGCTAGATAGAGGCACAGCTGGATTCACCCCTGCTCACACTAGGTCCTACCTCTGTAGAGCTTCCTCATCCACAGCAGGTGCTGTTTCCAGGGACAGCTGCATGGAAACACCCCAGCTTAGGGCAGGGGAACATGCCCACACTGGAGCAGTTCAGACGGCCCAGTGGGCTGCCCACTAACATCCTGGCAGTGGTCAGAGTTCATGGCCGGCAGGAGTTTGGAGATCTTGGAGAGTTTGCTGACCTCCCACTAGCCTCACCCCTGCTGTCACCGTTACCCAGAGTGGCTTGGCCAGCAGCCCACCTGGAGAAAAGCATAGATGTTTACTCTCCACAGGGTGCTGGAGTGTGGCCCAGACTAGATCCGCTCTTCACTCCCTACATTGTTACTGTTTTTCTATTCTATCTTTGAGACAAGGTTGCACTGTGTAGCCCCAGCTAGCTTGGAACTTGCTATGTGTATCAGGCTGGCCTTGAACTCAGTAACCTGCCTGCCTCTGCCTCTTCTTGCTAAGATTAAAGTCATGTACCACCATGCTTAGCTGCTTTTCTTTTTTGATGCTATTTTTTTCCTTCCTTTCCTTTTAAATAGTATTTTATCAGTAGGACTTTTGTTTCCTTATCTATAGCTTTCTGGGTATATAACCCAAGGCGCAGTTAGAGACACTAAGGGAATCCAACAGACCCAGACCTTGCCCTTATAGACTCATGGTCTAAAGGTGTCAGAAAGAGGCGTTGTACAGTCCCACAAAACCTGAGGCAGGTGTGTGGAGAGAGGAGGAGAATAAGGAGAGGGTGGAATAGAGTGTAACTGGGCCCTGAGCTGGAAGACTAAATGACTTTCCTGAGGGAAGAGCTTTTGAGCTGAGCTCTGAGAGGCGAGCAGGGGGGCATGGGTGAGGGTGGGGAATGGGCATAGCGGACAGGGAAGACAGCCAGGGCAAAGGGGAAGGGCCTCTGGGAAACGGAAAGGGCTGTGCATTGGCGGCTTAGCTCCTAAACAAGATGGGGCTGGAGAGTGGGGTACTTCGGGTCAGAAACTTCAAAAAGCAGAAGGAGAGTGGAGACCCGTGAGGGTCCTCGGGCCAAGTAATCTCAGCATTTGGGAGCAAGGACCAGGAGTTCAAGGTCATCATCAATTACATAGTCAGTTCAAGGCCAGCTTGAACTACAAGAGGCCCTCTCTCAAACAAAACAACAGAGGAGAGGAGGTGGAGCGCTGACCTGGTGAAGGGGTAGGCTTCATTCTGGGAGTGGGAAGTTACAGATGTTTTGAGAGGTGTCTAAGAGGAGGGTCCATCCATGATGGATTGACTTCGGGTGCAAGGAGGAAGAAGCCAGATAGAAGGTCTGAGTTCCATTTGGTCCCTCAGTGCCCTTCCAGACCATACTTGCAGAGGGGTGCAGGTGGGAAAAGCAGCCTGCACCCCATCAGTGCCTCCTGCCCCTGTCTGGGCCCCTTTACATAGCCGCCCACCAAGGAGGCAGATACCGAGGTTCCTCCAGTGCAGGGGTATTCTAGGCGCTGTGGGAAGTGGCAGAGAAAAGGCTTTAACGGGTTGATAAAAGAAACCCAGTGTCCCAGGAAGTGTGCATCCAAAGAAGGTGATTATCCTGTTGCCCAGAAGCCATCCCTAGAGCTGGTCTCCTCCATACAACCTGGGCCAAGCAAGTTAGTGGAGTCGGCTGTCACTCACTGAGTCATGTTATCCTAGAGGGATCCTGGCAAGGGCTCTGTGGTGGGTGAGATGTGGTCAGGTCAGCAAGAGGCTTCTGGAATTCCCTTAGAAACAGGGTAGTGTTCTGTTCATCTAGACCAGTGGTTCTCAACCTTCCTAATGCTGCGACCCTTTAGTACAGTTTCTCATGTTGTGCTGACCCCCCTCACCTCCAGGTCATTGTTGCTTCATAACTTTAATTTTGCTACTGTTATGAATCATAATGTAAATATCTGTGTTTTCCGATGGTCTTGAGCGACCCTTATGAAAGGGTCATTAGACCCCGAAGGGGTCACAACCCACAGGTTGAGAACCATTGATCTAGACCAAGTTTGGCGTGTGATCAAGAGACAGGAGGCCAGTCTCAGGAGATAACTTGGGGGTGAAACACGCTTTGCAGAGGTGAAAGAGTCACAGGGAGGCTGTAAGACTTGTTGAGGTCCAAGGCCTAGGAAGTCGAGCGCCTTGCAGGGCGCTCTGTGCTCTGAGTCCCTTTCCTGAATTTTCCTTTGGAGCTGAAAACCATTGCTGAGTCCACACTGTGGGAGTCCAGAGGGTGGGCGAGAGTCATGGCCACTGGAGGAGACACCAAATGGACGTGTGGGAGGCTTCCCAGAGGAGAAAGCCTTCCCTGACCTAACCGTCCAGAGTACTGGGAAGGAAGGTTATGGAAAGGAATGTCCTGTGCTGTGTCAGGCTTGGGGAGGAGAGACTTGCTTAGCCTGGGGGACCGGGGCTTTACACTGTGGTTTAGTCACTAGAAGGGTACAGAGGAGGGTTGGGCTGTTCTAGAAAGGAGAGGTGGTTTTCTTTTAAATTATTTTTATTGTTGTTACTATTTACTTTTGGTATTGAGAACGGACTCGGGGCCTCCCACATGCTGAGTACACACTCTGCTATGAGCTGCACCCTAGCCACTGAGGAGTGCTTGCTCATTGACACGGACCAGAACTGCAGAGACGTCATCACCTCAGGAAGTCAGGCTGGGGTCAGCGCTGTCACCAATCGGAAATTCTCTATAGAGAATGCCCCCATCTGACTCATCTCCTGATGTCCTAACTCTCTCTCCTAGCCCCCCAGACTCCCCCTAAACTGCACCTTGGATTTCAGTGCCAGGTGGAGAGACTGTGGGGAGGTGTGGAACAGGATGCTTCCCTTTGACAGCAGCCCGCAGGAAGGTTCAGCCTGAGAGGCAGTCTCTGGGGAGCAGGACAGCCTGGAGGGTACTGGAAAGAACTGGAGATGCCATGGACACAGTAACAGGTCTCAGACCTTTGCCTGACCAGTCCCAGAACCATAGCTGCCCAGGCCAGAACTCCATGAAGATTCTAACAGGGCCTACTGATAGAGTTGGAGGCAGAAGTTGGTGACCTGGGTCCTAGACCCCCTATATCTCAGCCCAAAGTTGTCACCAAACGTCATAGGCCCTCCGAGAGCAAACCAAACCAGCTCTGATGGGTCCTGTTTCAGAGGTGAGGAGCCAGGCTTGATAGTAAAGTAGAGATGCAGAGACCCACATGTAGTGCAGGAAGAGAACTAATAAGGGTTACTTGATAGCCTGAGCCCCAAAGCGGGGCAGGTCTCTAGGTCAAAGAATTTTGGGTCTCTAGAATTGGAAAGAAGTGTTCTTCCCATATGGCCGTGAGCTCCTGGCTCTTGTATTCACACACGAAGACTGGATGGTGTGTCCAGACCCTGTAGCATCAACACCGTATCTCACCCTGGCATCTACTCCAGGGGCTTCCAGAGTGAGTCTGTGTATAACCCACACCAACAAGGACAGGACTCAGGGCTGAGTGTGGGCCCAGTGGAAGGGCATTGTGGCAAGCAGGAGGCCCTGGGCTCCACTCCCAGCACCAAAAAGAAAAGATCCAGGGTCACTTCTGATTGTCAGGTGTGGTCACGCAGCTCCCCAGTCAGTATCTGGCAGATCTGTCTGTCTCATGATCCAGGGATCTCTGGGGAGCAGAGGAGACACCAAAAAGTAGCGATAGGGACCACTGTGTTTAGTAGGATAGCCCAATCAGTTTACCATGGTTGATTAATCCAGACCAATGCTCAGATTAATAGATATATTAACCACCCATTATCTAATTTGACCTGACTAACTCTTCCCCCCAAGGGACAAGTTTTTGTTTACTTGTTTGTTTGTTTGTTTGTTTTTGTTTGTTTGTTTTTTAAAACAGGGTTTCTCTGTGTCGCCCTGGTTGTCGTAGAACTCATTCTGTAGACCTGTAGCTTGAAGCTGGCCTCAAACTCAGAGATCTGTCTGTCTCTGCCTCCTGAGTGCTGGCACTGAAGGTGTGCACCACTGCCTGCCCCCGGACAAGTGTTTTTATTGTTTAATTATATTCTACTCGTGTGTTTGGTGTGTGCAGGTATATGTGGATGTCAGGGGACAGTTGAGGAGTCCGTTCTCTCTTTCTACCATGCGGAGCCTGGACATTAAACTCAGGAACTCAGGTTGTCAGACTTGGTGGCAGTCACTTTCACACACACACTGAGCCGTCTTGCCGGCCACCTAAGAAAAGTGGTTTTGAGAAAGTTGGGTGTGGTCACATGCCAGTCATCACAGCAGTCAGGAGCCTGAGACAGGAAGATCACCACAAGTTTGAGGCTAGTCTGGGCTATGCCATGAGTCTCTCTCTCTCCCTCTCCTACCCTCCTTTCTCCCTTCCCTCAGTTCCCACACACAAACGAAACTGAAAACAGTTTAATTGTCCTGACCACACCACGCTGTGGCTTTTTCACTTGGGGACAGTATTCAAAGGGAAGATTGACAGCTGTTCT